GACTTGGAGGGAGGAGATGATGGGGTTCGAGTTGTTGGTAGAGAGAGGGAGAGACGTCGGTATGTGTATGACAGAGTTGAGAGAAGGGAGCCGAGACGATATGAGATGAGTGGAGGACGATCTACGGGAGAGGATGAGGAACATCACGGACGTCGTCGAAAGGTGAGATTTGGTAACTGAGTAACTACCACCAATGCCAACCAACCAATTGGTCTAGAAACCAAAAAGAAAGGGAACCCATCGTACTGAAGGGCAAAAGAAAGGGTCTGGCCGGGGATTGAACCCGGGACCTCTCGCAAGCTTGCTTTCGGGTTTGCCCTAAGCGAGAATCATACCACTAGACCACCAGACCGAGTCCAAGCGGTGAAGGAACCGCTTGGTGTGGTTGTTTGTTGGACGGGATGTTGATTATTTCGTATTATATCGGTGGTGGCGTGGAGTTTTTTGAGTCATTTCATCTTATTTTTCTGCGGCACGTGCTCTGGTGTCCCTTTTTGTGGGGGCTGTGGCTGGGTGGAGATGTGGGGCTTGTTGAATCTCGATGCTTCGTTGACATCCTTCCATGGTCATCAAGCTTGGCAGCTGGAGAACTAAAGGAGATGGATCGACTGACACTCGAGAAAACCTAGAGAGAGTAGAAAAGACCAAGTGATGATACTGGAATCCGTTACACCTGAGGTTGTCTGGTCAGTTGAACATATGAGGGCTCTCGTTTTTGATACTTGCCGTTCAAAACCCCAGCCAGCAACAAGAGTAACCTCCAGTGCATCACATCCTCGCAAACAATCACCTTTCACCGAATGGTAAACACTCTTTTGATTTCTTTCTTGCATTTCATTCATGTCGTCATGACGCACTCACGTGCAGATCGCTAGAGCCATCTTCCCCATCACCAAATCTAGTTGCCCTGCCCAACATCCTTGCCCTGCTTGATGCCCTGGCTCTGTCCACCGCTGGCGTTGGCGTCCTTGAGGCCCGCGCCGTGCTCGTCCTTGCCCTCGGGGAGGGGAGCAGTCTTGTCTGCGCGGTCGACTCGGTCGGACTGGTGCGAGTTGTGTGTTAGCTGTCATATTTTGAGTGTTGAAGAGGATGGACTCACGTCTGGCTTGCCGACGCCGTGAGCAATGTTGTGCTCGGTGGCCTCAAAGGGGCCGTTGTCGGAAGAACCGTCTCCTTGGCGAGGCATGTTGAATGTGAAGTTGTTGTGGTGAGTGTGTTGTGCAAGTGCGAGATGTGCTTGTCAAGCTTTGTTGTTGATGAATTAAGAGTGAAGAATCAGTGAATCAGTGTCAGGGTAGACGATTTATTTATACCCAAGGTTCTGAGTTTGTTCCCCTCCTGCCATCATGCAGCGTTTGGCACTGGCCGCATCGTGATGAATCGACGACGTCATCTCGTCAACGTCATGCCCATGATCCATCATAGGTACGTTTTCTTACCCCAGTTTCTACAGTACGGCGCATAAGCTCCGGGATTTGGTACCTTCTAGAGACACTAAAACCCGGGACCTGCATTGTTTGACCGACAGCTGCCGTTTTTGGTCATTCTTCTTTTCACGAGTCAGGTGTGCAACTTCCTACCAGACTGACGAGGATCAACACAACACGGATAATCGTCAATGTTCATATCATGGTGAGTTATAAAGGTCTTGAGAGTTCTGTTTCTTGCAATTATATATAGCGAATATGGAAGAAAGAAAAGGAATATCATAGAATAAAATCCTCTTTCAAACAATTCCAAGCCCTTGGCGCAGTATGCCTCGTCCACACAACACAGTAGGTGACGTCATTGAACACAACCATCTTCAGCAAAGGAGTGACTTGATGATCTATCTAAGTTAAAGGATTGTCGGGTACATAAAATAAATAAAGCAAAACCACACGCGTGTTCCAAAATCGTCAGTGGCATGTACTACGAGCATCTCTGCGGGGTACGTACCGGTACATACCGGTACCTAGTGGAGAAAAATGAACTAGTAGACTAACCAATCAAAAATTTAAGACAGATTTTTGTCACATTTTTAATATTGCCACGGAGAGGGTATCCCTATATAAGGATGTAGGGCGAGCCACCGACTAATCGGTGAAACCCCGGCTAGATATCACGTGTGGCAGAGGCGTAGGCGAAGCCATATCCCCCACTCGGTTCAAGCATCTGGGCTCATGACACGAGCTCCCATCTTCCTGATATTGAAACGAATGTCTTTGTTGTCTTTGGCCCGTTTTTAGGCTCGGTCTGGGGCTTTGGGTTTAGAGGTCTGCCCCCAAGGCGTTGTATCTGCTCAGTGGCTTCTGACCCTTTGCGCTGTCAAACTGGGCTGGAAGAATTTCAGCCTCGACAAGAACAGAAGCCGTAGAGCCAATGACCCTTCCGCGTACATCAACGGCCTCAGCTGCGACACTGGCGATGTTCTTGGAAGTCACAAGGCTGGTCTCGAAGTTGGTTCGCTTCACCTCGCCAAGGAAATCTCGAGAGCCATACTCGTCAGTGACGGCGTAAAACCTCCACAAAGCCGTCTCAGTGTCGCCGTTCCAAGAGACATACACCTTGGTACCCTCGTTTCCTTGGAGTGCAACAATTGCGGGCGTCTCGTTGGGAATCCCGGTCCAGTTGTACCTGAAAGCTCTGTAATTCTCAGCGCCAACGCCAAGGAAGCCCGAGTCCACGTAGGCATGGAAGATGGGCTTGCCGTCGGCTGTAAACTCAGTCAGAGCTCCCTCAGATCCCCAATTGACGAGGACGTTTCCACCAGGAAGAACTTGTGTGCTGCCCTGGGACTTGGAAAGGAGGTCGTCGGGGGGAAAGTAGCCCGCAACTAGCTCGGCCGTCCACGAGGTTGTGTTGAGTCGCAGGATCTTTCCACTGCTTGTAGGCGCTGTATGGACCTCTGAGCCACCGCTGTGCTCGGTACCATGTGCGCTGTTATCATACAGGCTGATGACCTCTACGTCACCCTCCTGGGAGAGCCAGCGGGCGTGGTGTTGGAAGCAGAACTTGGCGTTGTCAGGGACGGCAAAGTTGGAACGCTTTCCATGAAGGCGCCAGATGATGGAGCCGTCAGTGCCGTTGATTTTGTGAATAGCGCAAGCGTCACGGGCTGAGATGAGGTAGTTGCCCTCGGCGTCCTTGTCGACGCTATTGATGTGGAAGTAGTCCCAGGCGTCGGAACTGTTGTAGCCAGATCCGGCTTGGCCGGGGTTGATGGGGAGGACTGCTTCTGTAGAAGGTTAGCATTGGAAAGGGGTTGCTTATTTGGTAATGGACTTACCGTCTGGTTGGACGTGGTCGAGACTGGACCACTCGAATAGGAGTTTGCCCGTGGCAATGTCAAGCTCTGTAGCCGAGTTAATACAATAGAGACTAGGCTTTCAGCATTTGGTGCAAACCTTGAATAATGGCATTTACAATCCACTGCTGCTCTGGACTGGCACCCCATTTCTGAAGATCTCGAGGCACAGGCTGATAGATCTGGATGAGACCAGTCTCCTCGTTGACGATATGGAACTCGTGCTTGTCTACCAACTTGTGGTTCCCAGCACGCAGCTCACGGATCGTCTCATAGTGCTGGTCCACAATGGTAATGTGGCCATGCCCATGACCATATCCAGCGTTGTGGTCACCTTCAAAACTGAAGAGAATGTCCTTTCCCTTCCAGCGCCCGGCTTGGAAGTTGGTGGCCCAGATACTGTAGAGACCATAGCCAGACCAGACAAGGTCGCCGTTGTCTCTGAAGATGTAAGGACCTGCCTGGCGTGGACCATGTTGTTCAGTAGGAGTGTCTGGGTAGCCAGCAAAAGGGGCCACGAAGAGATATCCCGGTTCGACCTCGTCCGTGGCAGGGATGGTGATGTTGAGACGAGGAGGTGCCAGGTCAGGACGGGATCGGAACTGCCAGTCGGCGGCAGCCAGAGGCACCAAGGCCAGAGAAGCAGCAGCCAAGTTACAAAGAGAGTGCTTCATGTTGGAGATGAAGAAGCGTTGCTAGCAGCGTCAGCGTCCCGGATCTCCATCTCGTCCAAGAAAAGGTACATTCACCTTGATGCAGCCTACGAGCCCAAAGTCCACCACTGATTTTCAGATTGAAGTCAAGAGAGTAAGAGATATGTGAGAGTTGTAAATTTGATCAAGTTGTTTGAGATGCTGTTCTCACTGGCAATGTGGTGATATATAAGCCTGCAAGAGACCAATGTCGCCGTTATACACAATGCAGCACGCCATTGCTTAGCCAAGGAAACCATTGGACAATTGAGAGATCAACAAGCGGGGAAAGATCGCCATTCTTGGTGAGGGAATAAAGATTGAGTTCTGTGCCAATGCTTGAGATGATGCATTGCGTGATTCCATGCAATCTGTATGACGACAAAGGGGACTACGTTGAGATGTGCAGGTTCCGTGACGTGTCGAGGTGAGGTTGGGCTAGACGAGTTCTTGCATGAGGCCCAAGAGTTGCTTGGTCATGTCACCATTACATCGTCTTGCTTTGCAAAGTAGTGGGATGCATCTATTCAGATTCGGGTTCAACCAAGGTAGCCATCCTCAACTACTGACTGGAGTCAATGTCTAATGACTGTTAAGGAACTATCAAGTCCATATGTACGTACAACGGAATTATCCCCCAATTACTACCGTAGAAGCTCAATTGGGTAAATTGTCCATCACTCATACAGTTGCATCACCGACATCCGAGTTGATGCAGTGGTACAATATCGTCTTGGCATCCCTGTTTCCGAGGGTCCACCGGTTCTCGGGACCTCGAATACGTGATTCGGACAAGAGATTTCGACATGTGCTAGCAGTAGAGTCACACCGATCTATCAATTCATTACCGATGACCCGTTAAATGCCCCACGGTTCTCGGCATTGAGTTTCTAGGTTTTAATCGCACGCACAAGTTACTGCCAGAGTGTTGAAGCCCACAACCTCGTCTCAACTCAACTATACGACATACTACCACAGTCTCGACGTTCAGTTTCGTTTCACAAAAATTACACCATCTCGTCATGAGAAGTTCCTCTCCTTCACCTGGGGTCTTGAACCCTGCAGACGACATCGAAGCCCGCGAGGATCAACCCCTCCTCCGCGCCCCAGATGAAGATTCATGGAAACCCCCACGGGGCTTCATCTGGATCCAACTGGCTATCATGTCCAATGTGTTTCTCTACGGACTTGATAGTACTATCACCGCTGCAACCTACGCCGTCATCAGCTCCGAGTTTGACGCCGCCAACACGGCATCGTGGTTGACCACGTCGTATCTCGTCACCAGCACTGCCTTTCAACCCCTATACGGAAGGGTTTCTGATATTTTTGGTCGTCGGTTATGCTTCTTTATCTCAACAATCACTTTTGCTGCCGGATGCCTTGGGTGCGGTGTGGCCAACAATGTGATCTTTCTCAACTGCATGCGGGCACTGACGGGTTTTGGCGGAGGAGGATTGATGACCATGGGTGAGTTGATGAATTGAACATACCCGACAATATCAAGACTAACACTCCGAAGCCACCATCGTCAACTCAGATATGATCCCATTTCGAAAGCGAGGAATGTACCAAGCCCTTCAAAATGGCATCTTCGGTTTCGGTGCCATCGCCGGTGCATCTTTCGGAGGCTCAATCGCAGACCACATTGGTTGGCGATGGTGTTTTCTCCTCCAAGTTCCAGTGTCCATCGTGGCTTTCGTGATTGGGTATCTCGTTGTTGCCAATCAGCCCGGAGGTTTCTCTCTCGACAGCGGACTGGGTGCCGTCTGGAAGAGGGTTGACTTCTCTGGCTCATTGCTGCTGGTAGTTGCTGTCTCAGTTCAGCTCGTTGGCCTGAGCCTTGGAGGCAATGAGCTGCCCTGGACTAGCCCCTGGGTTATCGGCTCATTGGTTGGCAGTGTTGCCCTCTTCGCTTTGTTTCTCCTAGTTGAAGCGAGGACGAGTGCTATCCCGGTGATTCCTCTACGTTTACTCCAGGGGAGACTACCTATAGCAACGCAAGCCGCAAACGTGTGTGCTGGCATGGCCGCTTACGGTGTGAGTAGAAGATATTTACTAACTTACCTTATCGCTAACTCGTCGTTTAGTATCTCTTCATGCTCCCACTCTTCTTCCAAGCCGTCCTACTCGACTCAGCCACCACGGCTGGCGCCCGACTTGCAATTCCTTCGCTTGCCACCCCAATTGGCGGTGTCATCGCTGGCATCGTCATGTCTCGCTGGGGCAGGTTGATTGCTCTTGTCCGCACAGGGGCTTTTCTCATGGTAGTGGGTAATGCTCTGGTAACTTCACTTGGGTTTGAAGACTCCACGTGGAAGTACTTTGTGTTTGTCTTTCCTGCAAACTTTGGCCAGGGGATCATCTACCCTGGTATTCTCTTTACCTCTCTTGCTTCGTTTGACCATGCCGGTAAGTAGCCTGTCCTTGATTAAGTCCTTCTCAAACTGACCGGACCTGTCCAGATCATGCAGTCACCGCCTCAACCGTATATCTCATCCGCTCCCTAGGAACCGTCTGGGGTGTTTCAGTCACCTCAGCCATTGTGCAAACTACGCTCAGCGTCCGGTTGCCGGACGCACTGAGCGAGGTATCAGATAAATGGAGAGTACGCCCTTTTTCTTTTCATGTCAGCTATGCCGGTAGTGTTTGTAAATGCTGATCACTTTGTCTCTAGATCATCGATCAAATTCGACACTCGGTCGACTCTATCCGCCACCTCCCGCCGGATATTCAGCTCAAGGCACGCCTTGTCTATTATGATGGTCTCAAGTACGCTTTTGGAGCTTCGACTGCGGTGGCTTTGCTTGGATTCTGCGCTGCCTTGATTGCCAGCGGAACTGGCCTTCGAACCACCCACAAGTAATATGGTAATCTTGGAGAGTGCTTGTCAGGACTAGATCGATTCAAATGACGGAAATCCTTAACGAGGACCGTCATCATAGAACGCCCGAGTGGAAGCTCTGGTTTATGGCTTCTATCAACTAGGGTCACAAAATGGCGTAGAAGTAGTTGAATGTCACAGTTTCGCAACACCTCCTTCCCATGAGCATCATACGTCCCTCAAATACCAGTAGTGTGCTAAACGAGGGCATTGTCACTTCCAGGCTGTAAAAAAAAAAATTAAGGAGTCGTCGAATCCACGGGGAACAAAAGGTGAGGAGGGCAAAAAGTGTGGTTCCGCCCGGGATCGAACCGGGGACCTTCTCGGTGTTAACGAGATGCCATAACCAACTAGACCACGGAACCTGAGTTGGTTGTTTGATGGGAGGTATGATGGTTCGAGGACTCATAATCGAACCAATTCCAAGATGGACGATGAGGAGTGGAATATGAGGTTGTGATGTCGGCAGCAGATGTAATTGAGTTGAGAGATCCTGCTTGGTGTTGCTGAATAATTAGTGGGGCAGGCTTTGTCTCAAGTAAACCTCATCCTAAGGTTTAGGATGGCGGCTCCTGGCAGCTGGAAGGTGCGAAGATCGAGCAGAACTGAGACCTGGGCTCGAGAGGCATGGCCACTAGGACCAAGGGGTGGAATAAATAGAACCATTTAGTCTTCATATGCATGAATAACTAGGTTTCCAAAAGAAGTGAATTATGTCTTTCTCTTGATTAATTGAGTTGACAATAGTGAGGCAAATGTATGGTCCACGGCGAGTTCAGGTCCCAGTCGCTCCTGCCTCAACTGCCAGCTGCTTGACACTGACGACCAGCTGCCGAAACTGGCCGCCCATGAGCTTCGTTTGCACTTGATCTTGACTCGTGACACTTTTTCCTCGTTCCATTTTCGCGCTTTCCCCCCTCCTCCTCTTCAATTGTCTTCTCCGAAAACCTCACGCCAACATCCTCCAGCATCACGACCAACATCTCGTCGGGGCATTGGCCAAGGGGTTCGATAGAACCACGCTGACGAGCTCTGGTTTCTCTTTACTTATCTTTATTCTCGGGAAGTTTCTTTAGGTACTCAAGGATTTGAATGAGCAAGGCAGAGCACCATGTTCTATAGCCACGAGAGTGCGTCCGCCCAGTATCGCTCGCCCTCGGCCTACTGCTAACTCCCTTCTTAGTTCTCAGCAACACCCAGTATGGGGTTGCTACCATTTGGTCTACATTCTCAATCCTTCTCTCTTTGATTTACACTGACCTTTTCTCAGGCTGGTGGCCACGGTCGGCAACACGAATCAGAAGAAGGTGACCAGAAAGGCCATCCAAGAGGTCAACGTCCCCAAGGCATGCGAGACCATCATCCATCCCGGGGCCCCTCTGGCTCTGCGTCTTCAAGGCAATCTCCTCTATGGCGTCTCTCGCGTGTTTTCCCAGCAGTGCCGTTACGTTCTTTCAGACGCCGAGAAGACCCAGGCCGACATGATGACATTCTTTCGAGTCATGCAAACAAATGAAACGGACCCGCGTGCAGGCAAGACCAAGTAAGCTTCCATTCATTCCCGTCTCTCAAGCTTCACTAACCATCCAAGGCGTCACAATATCACTCTGCAGGATGATCCGAACTTCGACCCTTCCAACAGCGTGCCAAACCCTGATCTCCTCACCAGCGCCAACGACTTGATTCTTTTTTCGAACAAGTTTTCTCAGCATAATGCCTCCCAGATGACTCCTTTGACTCAAGTCACCGGCTCCTCAGGCAGAAATCATTCACTGCTGGGCTTCGACCTCCCGCAATCTTCGCATTCGGGAGGCAGCTACCGTCTTCCAACTGACCTCAACCGAGATTCTCCTTTTCCGAAGCCTTTCAACCCGCGAGATCCTTTGGCGGACTTCGACCCTTTCGGCGGAGATGATCTTGAGGGCCTCCCTGGTGTCTTTCTCAACTTCGACGCCGACGGCAACCTCGTTAGCCTTGGCGAGCCTGAGCCAGAGCTCCCGCCTCTTCCTGGGTTCGACCTCCAGCCTCAGGATAACATCGCTGGCCTTGGCCCTGAGAAGGAGCAGGTCGGTGGCGAAAACGTGGTCATCATGGGAGAAGATGCGCTGCCTGATGCGGAACCCTTTCCCAAGCGTCGCCGTGCCGAAAAGTCCACCTCCTCAGTTGTTCCAACCACCGAATCAGTTGAGACCGAGCAGGCCCAGGCCCCCGCCCGTCGGGGAAGACCTCGCAAGCTGTGCCGCATGGTTGATCAGAGAGACCATGTCCCCTCGGCCGAGGTTCGCAGCTGGTCTGTCAACTATCTTGCCAACATGGAGGCAAGCCGAAAGCCAATCCCGACAACGACTCTGACTCAAGCACGAAAGAATGCCAAGGCCTTCCTCTTTGGCAACGGTATTGGAGGCGTTGGGAGAACTCTTGCAGGGTTCGATCATCCACTCGTCGCGGACTTTTCTGGCATGTCGCTTCTGGCCCGTCTTCAGGGCAATGAGCCTGAGCCGGAAGAGGAGCCCAAGTCCCGTGGACGACGTCGTGTTTCTGCCGAAGCCTTCGAAGAAGACCAAGGTGATGAGAGACGTGTTCGCCAAAAGACGGATGGTGGTGCTGAGATGGGACGCGGTCTAGATGGCGGTATGGGTGCAATCATTCCCGGCGACGACATGGCCCCTGAGATGGGCATGGAGGTTGTTCAAGCTCTCGAGGATCGACACTCTTCCTCCATGGCTCCCTGGAGTCGCCCTCCCTCAGTTGCTCCCGGTTCATCCATTCGAGGACACGGAAGTGTGCAGAAGAATCTTCCTGCCCCAAGCCCTCTTCTTGGCCGCGGAAGTATCGTTCGCTCTATTGAACGTTGGAGCGATATTCCCGCTCTGCCTTATGGTTCTGACGACTTCCCACAGCTTCACTCTCAAAACGATTCCATCGGGCAGGACGGTTTTCTGGATGGTCTGGATTTGCCTGTTGGCAACGACACGCAGAACACTACACAGGGTCTCGACAATTCTGCCCTCGATTTCCTCGGTTATGCTACAGTTCGAGCCCAGGCCAAGGGATATACCCGCTCTCACGATCGAGTCGACCGCCGCTGGATCAACTTTGACACCCTCACCGACGAACTTGAGGACCCAGCCAGCGCGAGAAAGTTCATCTCGGAGGCTTTCATGCATGTCCTGACCCTTGCAACCAAGAGCGCCCTCGCTGTCGAACAGGATGGTATCGCCGAGAACCAACCCTTTGGTACGATTCGCATCGGGCTGACTCTTCCTGAGCAAGACGATGACATGGTCGACGAACTGGCCTAGATTTCTTTTCGAACTCCGGGATATACCTCATTCTTTTCTATTTTTGTTTTCATCTGCAACAAACTGCCGGGACTGGCGAATACACAACGTGATGGGACATGTCTCTGCGGAATATCATGATATGGGCTGGGCTGCTTTGATTTTCGGGTAACAAATGGGAATGTTGTTTTGGGGTTGTAAGACTGCTTCGGGTTACAGCAGTATGGGAAATATCGGGATCAACAGGTCGCCTGGGGAAACGGCTAAAGAATGCGGATACCAACTGGTGGGATCGGCTCAAGTGGGCGATATGGGGTCATGGGACAATAAGGCAACAGGTAAAACGGACAGTATTCAAGTACGTGGGCAGAAGGCAAGCAAGATAGTCTCTATGATACAATCATCATTCACATCGAGAGAGGAATTCAAGTCATATTATTTCATTATGCGTCAAGACATTATCTAATCGTAAGCATCGTCATCATCTCCGCGTTCTCGATCCTCAAACTTCATATATTCCGCCTCGTCCTGACCGGAACCACTTGTGGTCAACTCCCAGGCCTGCTGGACCGAGTCCAGTAGGGAATCATCAAAAGCCAGGCTTGACAAAGAGGACGAAAAGGTAGCAACATTGCCATCGACTTTCAAGGTGCTGGCACGGATACTTTGCTCGTAGTATAGCTGGTAGATGCAAGGAGTGACCTCTTGGCCGTCTGCTACGACAGCGAGAAGCGACGACAAAGCCTTTTCGAGAACAATCTTGGCCGACGATGTACGAACGGTGCTCAAGTAGAGAACATCTGATATCATTCGTTAGCGTTATGTCATGCAAGCATGTGCAGCAAACAAAGATTGAAAGGTGAGGTGTGTATCAGGTTGTCAGAGATAATGATCGTCAATGAAATTCAGACAATGTAGATAAGTATTCGGTATGTGAATCATCATAACACCAAAGCAAGCGCAAGATAGAATAAGAAGAAGAGTTAAACTCACATTGTCCAGTAGGGCACTCCCCTGTGTCGCTCGAGTGCACCATTGCATAGACTGGATACTCTGAGGGTTTTCCATCCTCGTCAGAGATTGAACCAGTTGGAAAGGCAACGACTGCAACAGCTGGCGTGGGAGCGCCCTCGGTCAGCAGCTCAAAGAGAGCTGACAAGTCGGATTTGGTCACCGCAGTGAGTCTGCTGATTCGGCGGCCTTCTGAGTCCGATTCCTCGTTGCCTTGAACCACCAGCTTGGCCTTCACCTCGATATCATTAGTAAAGGTGAGCGCCAATGGCGCATCCGCCTGATCAGCCTGCGGCTTCTGTAAATCCCGAATGCCGGAGCCCAGCATGTAGACTGCACCACCGACAGCAGCAGCCCGGCAGCCCACTTGAGCTACCTCAGAGAGACCACCCCATTTGGGGTAGACGGCAGCGAAGCCAGGCCCAAAGACACCCATAGATGTCAGGTGGCGGCTAATGATCGCAAGACCGTCTTTGACAGAGATGTTTCCATCGTGGCTCAAGGTCAAGGTAACGACATAGGACTGAAGTATAGCGTCAAGTTTGAACTCGGACGCCAAAAACTCTGCCAAGCGCTCGTCTGCACGAGGCCCCCACACATCGGTCTGAGGTTCCGACTCATAGTCAAGCACAAACTTGAGGAACTTCATCAGGGACCGCTTGGACCGGGCCGGTATAGATGTGTTTGAGA